TAAGTTTAAATGGCCTTTCTGTTGGTGATACAGATGTGTTGAAATCACCCAGTATTGTTGTCCTGGGGTCTATCTGAGTCTTTATGTCAAGTAGAGTTTGTTTTATGTGCCTGTATTTGGGATATAAATATTTACAGTCCTTATGTATTCTTGTTGGTTCCGTTACTAGAGTGAAGTAACCCTCTTAGTCTATTCTGATTAATTTTGGCTTAAAGTCTGCTTTGTCAAATATAAGAGTAGCTACTCCTGCTTCTGCTTACTTTTGGTCTCCATTTGTATAGCATATTTTTTCCATCCTTTCACCCTCAATTTGTGGATGTCTTTGCCTTTAAGGTGAGTGTCCGGTAAACAATATTATGTTGGATCTTGTTTTTTAATCCACTCTGCTAGTCTATGTATTTTAATTGGAGAGTTTAGACCATTTACAGCCAATGTTACTATAGAGAGATTATTATTTCCTGCCATTTTGATTTATTTCTAGTGTTTACTTCAGTCCTGATTCTTCTTTACTTAGCTATTCTTTTTTAATATTTACTTTTTAGTTGTAGTTGGACACACAATACCTTTATTTTATTTATTTTTATATGGTGCTGAGGATGGAACCCAGGGCCTTGCATGTGCTAGGTGAGCACTCTACCACTGAGTCACAACCCCAGCCCCTACTTAGCTATTCTTCTAGTGAGATTTTTTTCAGTCACTGGCTCTGGGTTTTATTTTTATTTTCTTCTGTTTGAAATAGTTATGAATATTCTGTATTATGTATATGCTGTATTGTATTCATGAATTCTTTTAGTGTATGCTTATTTTTGGAAGGTTTTATTTCTACTTCAATTATGAAAGATAGCTTTGTTTGATACAGCAATCGTATATGGTAATTACTTTCTTTCAGGTCTTGGTATACTCTAAAAGCCTACTTGGCTTTTAGAGCTTGTACTGATAAATCAGCAGTACTTCTGATTGATTTACCTTTAAATGTGACCTGCCAATTTTCTCTGAAAGCTTTTGCAATTATATCTTTGCTTTGTATATTAGACATTTTAATTATAGCCTGGCCTATAGATTATCTTTTTTTAATCTTGTCTATTTGGGATTCTGAACACTTCATGTGTCTGATTTTTTTATTTCATTCCCAAGGTTTGGAAATATTTCTATCTCACTGGAAACATAAAGACCCCTACTTTATATCTCAGTATCCTACTCAATGCCGTGATCTTTATATTTGGTATCTTAATGTTGTGTTAGATATTCTGAATATTCTGGTCATGGTCACACATCATCTTTTCTTTATTGCTATGTTTTCCATTCTATATACCTTGTCATTGAGGCTCAGAAATCTGTTTTATATGTGGCCTAATCTACTGGTGATAATTTCGACTGAATTTTTAATTTGATTTATTTTGTCTTTCATTCTCAGGATTTCTGCTTGCTTCTTTTTCAGAATCTTATGTCTGTATTGAAGTGTTCTTTCACTTCCTGTATTTTCTCCTAATTTGTTTCTTAAATCTTCTTTTAGTTCATTGATCATTATAATCATTACTTTTCTAAATTATTTTTCCCAGCATTTCCTCTACAGAAGTGCCTTTGTGGTCAGTTGTTGAAGTGCTGTCAACTAGGGAGGGCATTTTATTCTCTTACTTTTTCACAATGCTTGAATTTCTGCCCATCTGCTGGAGGTTTTACTCTCTTCTACTATTATACAAGGCAATTTTAGTGAGCTGCTTTCTTGACTCAGTACCTTGGGCAAGGTGAATATCTAGGTGTCAATATTTCTATTTAACATGAACCCACTGGTATGCCCAGTCTCCAGCACCACTTTGAAAGAAGCAACTAAAACCACTTCAGAACAAAGACATATGCTAATAAACTTCTAGAAATCTTAGTGAAAATGTTCTCCAGATGTCCACCAATCCAAGTAGAAAACAGAAGTGATGTGTTAGGGTGGATTGAGAAATTATGTGTCAAATAAAATAAAATCACAATTAAATTATATATGTCTCCATGCTTCTTCAGACCCCAGGTATACTCACTCACCTCAATTGTTATTTTAATTAAGCTAGAAAATAAGGGCTTGTTTGTGAAATATTGAGGTCATAACTTGCTGTCCATCATAACCTAATGCAGTTAGACAACTATCTCACACAAGTACAAACACAAATTCCAAATTTTTATAGGCTTAAATGTTAAAAATGAAAAATTGAAGTCGAAGAATTACAAAGTGCAACAGATCTTACCAAGATGGTGAAAGATACTTAATGTTTGAAGAAAATAAATTATAAATGAATATATAAAACCCCAAACTTTTGCAGGACCAAAGATTCCATAAATAAAAATAAGCAAATAACAGGGAAAAAATTGTTGCATAGAACACAGCTGATATCCATCATAAAAACAGCAAGAAAAATAAAAGAAGAATGGACTGTGGATATGATATTTGCCAAGTAGCAAACACAAATGGTCAACCAATATATGTCAAGATTTTAGCATTTCCTAGTGGTCAGAGGTTTGCAAATTGAAATACAAATGAAATATCGTTGTAAAGAATTATAACACACCACAGGGTCACTAAAGGCTAAAGGGCACTCTTTTACTTTTTTGATAAGGATATAAAGTGTTACAGCACACTTTGGCAAGAGAAAATTTAAAATATGCATAGAACTCATCACCATATTTCTGAGAATCAACCCCAGAGAATAATGACACTCAAACTGCAAGTTATATTCTCAAAAATGTTTATTGCAGCATTGCTTGAAACAATTTGAAAATGTGAGAAAATGAGTCCAACTTTAGGTAAATGGTTTGAGAAACTATGGCACATTTGTAAGATGGGATTTTATATTGACAATATAAACTTAGACCTATGCCATTTGACTCAGGGTAAGTTTTACATAATATTAATGAATGAGAAAAGCAAAGACAAATGAGTCTTAACTCGATTTTTAAAATAGAGAAGAAAAAGCTCATATATGTGTACATATTTATATGCACACATATGTACAGATGATTGAACATGCATATATTTCAGAGCAAGCTAAGAAATAGATCTACTCTGTGGTTAACATGGGTTACATTGAGTGGAGCCTAAGTAGGAGATGGAAAAGGCGGCAAGTCAAGAAAAAAAAAATGCCAAGAAATAAGTTGAATAATATGATTCCATTCAAGTATTTGGGTAAAATGATGTCTATATAAATGAATGTAGATATTTAAAAATTATTTGAAAAACACTAAAATACATGGAAATTAAATTTGCTCTCCTAGTTGAGAAAAATGAAATCTATTCCCAGAAATTCTTCCTAGGCTATTGGATATAAAAATTAATCTATTTCTATTATTTCTTTCAGATTTAGTCATTTTCTTCTCTAATTCCAATTTACCCTTCAGTTTATGTTACTTTTGAATCCTGAACCTTAACTGAGCAACGCGGAGGAACATGCAGTGTGAGAGGAGTGACCAGCTCTCTTGCATTAGAGAGCCACAGCATGCTGAGGCAAGGGAGGCATGGCGGTTTTAGAGACGCTTGGAAGTCCATGGTTCTCCAGGTCCTCCAAATTCTCTAAGATGCCATTATTGCATTTGTTGAAATGATAACATTCTCTCATCAACATCCAGTGCTCCCATAAATGACTTGGGGTGACAGTAAATTCAACTGGTGATGTAACTGAGCAGATAACTGAATCTAACTCAGAGTTAGTTTTTAAAAGTTCTGTGTTAGTCTGTTTTTCTTCACTGTGACCAAAATAGCTGACAAGAGCAACTTAGGGGAAGAAAAGTTTACTTTGGCTCATGGTTTCAAATGTTCAGTCCCTGGCCAACAGATTCCATTGTCTGGGCCTGAGGTGAGGTAGAACATCATAGTGGAAAAGGCGAGATGGAAAAAAGACACTCAGCTCATGGTAAGCTTGAGCGAAAGAGGGGTGGGGGAAGGGACCAAGGGCAGATATAGTCCCCAAGGGGATGCACCCAGTGACTTATTTCCTTCAGCCACATCCTACCTGCCTACAATAACCATCCAAACTACTAATCCATCAGATGAATTAATACACTGATGAGGTTACAACCTAATGAGCTAATCATTTTACCTCTCAACCTTGCTGCATTGAGGACCAAGCTTTCAACACACAAGCTCTTGCAGGGGGCATTCCAGGTCAAAACCATAACAGCCTCTGCTTTATATCTCTGTAGAAAGACAGGTATTCTTTCAGCACCTTAAGGTCAAAAAACCAAGAAATGAAATCATTGTCTTAAAAATTGAAGCCCCTATAGTCTTGGCCTTCCTCATTCTCTTAGATTTGCTTAATTTTAGTAACTTCCCATTATTCACAGGATTAGCACAATATTCATGGTCTCAGGCAATCATGGGTCTGAGTAGAAGAGTGGCAGTGATATACCATCAGCAGTAAAAGTGGATGACTCACTTCTTTTTGTACATCTCAGTACAATAATTCATTCCACATGTCCTCATTTCCCTGAGAGTTACTGCTTACAAACAAAACTTTAGTTTCAATTCCAAAACCAATTGTAAGAAAGAGAAATTGACTGTGGACAGCTTGATTAGAGGGAGAAGAGAAATTGTGGGGAGGGGGACAGGATAGTTTCACAAAATAGAAGAGGAAGAGTAGAACACATCACTGTCTAATTCTAAATACTTCGTTCTGTTGCCTGCCACTCACCTTTAAGAGCTGTTTCAAGATCAGTTACCATTCTTTGGTTGAAAGCACCTGAGTCTGATAGTACATAACTACAGAAATGATGTTGGAGCCTTGTAAGCTAATGGAGGGGGCAGTTCAGTAACAGAGAATAACGTAGTTCAGACTACCTAACTTAAATTCCAGCTCTACCATTTCCTTGCTGTGATTCCCTGGACATTCATACACACATCTTGCATCTCATTTTCTCACCAGTAAAGGAAAACTAAAAACATAACTATATATTCGTTGAGATGGTTAAGTATTATAATAAAAGTAAGATGTTGTGTTCATTTTCTGATGCTGCCACAACAAATTATTACAAATTTAGTAACTTAAAATGCCACAAATGTGTTATCTCACAGTGCTTTAGGTTCGAGGCCTGGATGGGCTTACCCATTTTCTCTATCTGGGTTACATGAGGCCAAATCAAGTTGTCAGCAGGCCTTATCTGGAGGATCTGGGGAGAAAACACTTCTAGGCTCATTCAGGGTGTTGGCAGAATTCAGTGCCACAAATTCCATGAATCGAGATTTCTGTTTCCTTGTTGACTGATGGCTGGTCCTGTTCGAGTTACTGGAAACTGCCCACGATCCCTGGCTCACAGACTCCTCTGGCATAAAAGCCAGCAACAGTGGATTGAATCCTTCTCCTGCTTATATTAACTCAGAACTTATCGTTTCTACCTACAGCTGGGAAAAAGTTCACAAATTTTTAGTATCCATATGAATAGATAAAATTCATCCATATAATGTAGGATGCCCTTCCTATTTTATAATTGTGATTACATTTTTCTCAGTTCCTGTTGCCATGTAAAATAGCATGTTTCTAGGTCCTGGGGATTAGGAAGCTGACATCATCATTCTACCACAGGAATTTACTACATTTCTTGGCACCAGTTAAGAATTTGCCATTTTTTTTTCTATTTTTATTACAAATATGACCCCAGGAAGAACAATTGCCCAGGGAACAGTGTTCATAGTTTGTTTAGGACCCTCAGGTAGATTGATTTTATTCCAATGCTTACTTGCTTTTTGTTTGCTTGTACTCAGTAGTCAGAGTTCCTACAGAAAGATTCTGAATAGCCTTGCTTGAATCTTGGTTTCACTTTTTGCAATATTCTGTCAGGAAATAGGGGTAGAATGGTTAACCTACCCTGGGTTATAGGATCACCCCCCCCCCCCGATCACCATATGAATCTAGCTTTCTTAAGGTTTTTGTAATTATCAGAAGCGTGACAGAATAAAGAGCCACAAATAGCAATGGATGTTTACATAGATGTGAAAAATCAACATAAAAAAATACCCTGAAAAAAGAGAGCTAATTCATTTCTCCTTCTCTGAATAAGACTGATAATCCTGAGAGTTCTCTGTCCTCCAAGCAACCATTTCCAAAAAAAGAAAAAGGCATTGAGTTCCTGGTGGCATTTCTCATGGACAATGAAGAAACTCTCTTTAAAGTCCATCTAGTTACGTAGCATCAGAGTTCAGGGTCTGTTTCATCATGATTTTGTGTCTGCTACAGGAGAGGATTAAAATATTTTCTGAATATTCTTGCCATAGCTGCCTTCACCTCCTTGTTCTTCAGACTGTAGATGAGGGGATTCAGCATGGGAGTGATCACACTGTACTGCAAGGAGAAGATCATTTCCAGAGAGGAACCTGAGGTTGGTAAGAGATAGCTGATGAAACCTGAGCTATAGAACAAGATCACAGTAGTGAGGTGGGAGGAGCAGGTGGAGAAGGCCTTGCTTCTGCCGGTAGTGGAGCTGACCTTCAAGACGGTGGAAACAATGCGGACATAGGAAGAAACGATCATGACAAGGGTTCCAAAGAAATGAAAGACAGAGGAGCAAAGCAGGAGGGTGAAGTTAGCAGAAGTGTCAGAGCAAGACAGAGGGAAGAGAGAAGACAGCTCACAGCTAAAGTGGGGAATAGTTTGCTCCTCACAAAAGTCTAAATTAACAGCCAGCAGGATATTGATGAGAGCATCAACAAAGGCCAGGCCCCAGGAGACCCACACAAGCCCAACACAGAGCTGGTTACTCATTACCTGGCCATAGAGCAGAGGGGAGCTGATAGCAACATAGCGGTCATAGGCCATCGCAGCCAGCAGACAGGCCTCAGTGCCACCAGTGGCAAACACAAAGAAGGCCTGAGCAAAGCAGCTCTCTACAAAGATGGTTTTGCTTTCAGAGAGCATGTTCTCCAACATCTTGGGTGCTGTGACAGATGAGTGGCAGAGGTCTAAGAAGGACAGTTGTCTCAAGAAGAAATACATGGGTGTGTGGAGGTTAGAATCAGCTGTGATCACCAGCAGCATCAAGAAATTTCCCATGAGAGTGAGGAGGTAAATCAGAAGCAACAACACGAAGAGTATAGCCTGAATGTAGGGGTCAGAAGACAGCCCGAGAAGAATAAACTCACTGAGAGCACTGGAGTTTTTCATTGCCATATAGAGAAGTGTTATCTCTGGAATACAAAAAAATCAAAAATCAAAAAGCTTTTAATACCCCCATACCCCTTAGTTACTACGGCACCCAGATCTTATTTTCCATAATTATCTTCTCAACACTACCCCCAAAATACATTCAGATATTTAAATGCTAACTTTCTGCTCATTATCATGCCATTGATATTCTAAATCAACCATGTTATTATTTATTATAATCTTTTTTTAGCTAGAGTATTTTTTATGGGGCTGAGAGTGATTCACTTCAGGAGAATTTCCGATGGGAGAAAGGAACTTTTCAGGAATGAATTGCCTAAGAAGTGGAAAGAGGATTAAATCTAGATAAAAATGATGTAGGTAGGAACAGGGGCACTATTCCACATAGAAGGGAAAGTCAAGAGTATAAAAAGTGAAGGGAGTTCCTACTTCATTCCTTCATTTTTTTTCAATAAGTTTAAATGAGATCATCAGAGGTCTACATGTATGTGGGTGAGTGTGCCTGCATGACCACAAGAAATTACAAAGGTATTGATGATTATAAAATTAGTGTTCCAGGGCTAGGATTATGGCTCAGTAGTAGAGCGCTTGCCTAGCATGTGTGAGGCACTGGGTTCAATTCTCAGCACCGCATATAAATAAGTGAATAAAATAAAGGTCCATCAACATCTAAAAAAAATTGGGGTTTTGACCCAATTTTTTGACCAATCATGGAAATAAGAGCCAAGGTGAAGAATTTGAAACCATTGAAGTATAGGAAAACAGTAAGGAATTTAGACAATGTGGAATTACATTAGGGATTTTTCTTGTTTTAAATTTTACCATTTTATTTACTGACATCATATTACCATTTAATTTTAAAATATATGTATACAATAATAATGAAGTTTTAAAAAAATGGTGCCTAAATCATAATGCCCAGGGATATTTAGGTGGGCATTTGTGAGCATTTCTATGCTTACCATGAAATTATGAGAAGCTGATTCCCGTTTTAGAACAATATTCTGGTTAGAAATGCCATGCCCTTCCTAAAACTCACATATCCAATACTATATGAAGTCACGACTCCTGTGTAAGCCATCATGCTAGATTTTAAGGCTCCATATCGTTACCTAAACTATTTTCTGATTGTATGTATTTTCCATATTACAATGTAGTATGTACAACTAGTACTCTAGGTTTCACCTGCGTGTCAAGACAACTGTTCAATACTCTTGCCTTCTTTCTGTTCTAATTCAATACTACTTCATCTAGTTCATCTGTGAAGTCAGAAAGCTCTTCTGTTGTTGGATGACTGAGCAGTTGAGCCTCCCAGTCCTGGTGAAGAACAAAACCCAATTACCTGAAATCTCAGTCGGTAATTCACTGGCTTTTGGCACTGCTTTCAGATCCATAAGTGATAAAACTGCTCAGCTTGCAGAGCCAACATTGAGATGAATACTTTGAGGGAGAAGCAGAAAATCATGTTAAGATTTAACATTATATGATAGATTCAACATTAACAGTACAAAATGATGATTTGTAGACAATACCTGGGCAATTGTTTCATTTGGGGGGAACTGGATTTAGAGGAAATGATTCCTGTTTCACTCTTTAGACATGGAGGCGCATCCTGAGATTTATCTCCAGTGGAAAGCAACAGTGAAGAGAACTCAGGCAAAGAAAGGTTCACAGAAGCCTTGAGTGAGGCATGTGTTGTGTGATTTCAGAACCAGAATATATCAAAAAAACCTTCTTTTGGTTACCTCCAAATATAGATCAACTGACTGAGTTGCAGAGATTCTATGAACTGCAGAGAGAATCCCAACTTTGAATCAAAGCAAAACCATGCATACAAATAGCATTATGATAAAAGGCAATGTTAGTAACTTGCTTGATTCTGCAGGTCCCTTCCGTAAGGTTATTTAGAGATTCTCAAACAATTTTTTAAAAAATTTTAAAAATAAAATGAAAATTTCTATTTTGACTGTGTCTGATGGCTGCCATATCACCATTATTGGCTTATGCAATCTATAATTCAAATTTTAAAATAAAGAATTCTGGAAACCTAATAGAAAAGGATTGTTTTTAAATATTAACACCGTAATGTAATAAAATATATGACTCTTACCCAAAGGAAAAGCTCCCTGTGAACTGTCCGTTTCAGAATCAAAAAAGGACAATGTGTATAGTAACTAGCCCATAGGAGTTGATCCAAATGTGATTAGTAGAACATATAAATGAATGATAGCAGGGTGGGGCTGATTTTGAAGACAAAGAAGCTCATATGTCTATGTGACAAAGATATGAGCTTCTAAATAATCAGTATAAAGTTCCTAAAAGCAGGAAAAACACTTAAGAAGGAAAGTATCAAAGTGAGAGGTTTCCAAGATAAATTACACCCATTTTCTAAGTGTGTTCTGATTTTGTTCTAAATCCTGCTTCCTTGACCAATGAGATACCCCATATGCTCTGGGATAGATTAAGGGAGATGTTTTGCTTGGTTTAATTTTACAATGCTTTATTTAAAAAAAAACTCTGAAAGTAGACATTATTACAAATATGAGAATGCATCAGATTTATATACAATTTAGTCATTCCCAATGTGCAATTAATTAACAAAGATGTGGACAAGACTTTTCCACATGAGTCAGGACAAGCTGTATATACCACACAGGAACTGAAATCATTATAGAGCTCTCAGTTCCAGCTTGTCAATTAGAGCACCAAATAACAAAGCCTGTGACCTCACATCCAGGACATCCTAGAGCAGCCCTATTTGCCCTATGATTGTGAGCGATATAGTGAGGCTGCCCATGACATGGTGTGAAAATAATTATGCTATAAGAATTCTTTAGAGCTGAAACACCATTTTAGGGGACAAAGAAGCACTATCTCTGTTTCAAAAGGCTCCAAATCCCATCTGTTAGAAAACAGACTCTATATTAGACATCATTGAATTATTGTTAATTGTTTTAGGGTGGCATTGGGATTGTGGTAATGTAGGAGGAATCCATTTGTAGGAGATGAATGTTTAGGTATCCAGGGATGAATATTTAAGTATCATGGTGACATTACTTACTTTCAAATGATTCAGCCAGACAAAACATGTAGATATACAGACACAGAGTTACATAGATAAATAAAGTACACCCAGTAAGTAAAATATTAACAATTCATGTATCTAAGTGAAAGTTTTATCATTATACTAGGCTTTGAGCTTTCCTATATGTTTAAAATTTTCAAAATTAAATATGCTTTTAAAGTTCTTGAATAACACCTCCCCTCACATGCAAATTTAATGACTATGTTTTACCTAAATAACAGCCTTATTCACCAGGAAAATTCAAATTAAAGCTAAATGGTATTCCTTAAAACAAATAATTTATAGAAAACAGCTACAGTGGTTATTATAAGTCATCAAGTTTGAAATGTGAACTTAATGATGAAGTGCTATGCTGATTAAAATATACTCCATTTACCCTAATCAATGCTTTCTCCAAATGCACAAATTATGTATTTAAATATATAATTTAAAAAACTGTTTAATTGCTTTTCTTTTTTGGAGGGGTGGGGGAGTGGATACCAGGGATTGAATGCAGGGCACTTAACCCCTGAGCCACATCCCCAGCCCATTTTTATATTTTATTTTGAGACAGAGTCTCACTAAATTGTTTAGGGTCTCACTTAGTTGCTGAGACTGACTTTGAACTTGTGATCCTCTTTTTTCAAAACAAGACACATCTTGAGAGTTCAGGATATAGAGGTGATTTACCCCATAAATATTAAAAAAAAAAGCACTTGATGTTCTTACCCACTTAGGTGATAATATCAGATTCCTCAACCTTTCCAGACCCTGTTGAAATGCAAGATCTGTGCCAAAGGACAAGGGGAAGCAGCAAAGGTGGAGCAGAGCTCCTTGGAAACACACATATGTGGAACCCTGTCACATATCCACTAGTTTCCAGTTATGCAAGTTTTGAAAAATATTTCACCTTTTAATTTCAAGTTTTCTATCTTCATTGTGGAGAAAACAAAACCCACTTTACAGGGTTGTGATAATTTGGTTGTATGGTTCATACAAAATGCAAGCTTTAGAAAATTCAGCTTTCCATTGGTTTTAAGTTATCAATAGGTCAGAAAAGAAAAGATACATCTGAGCATCCCATTTAAACATCTTAGGGAGCCAATATAAACTAACCCCCCCACAGGACATAGCATTACCAGAAAGTTCTAGAATAGAAAAAAAAAGATGTGAGATGAGAAGGATAAGAAGTAAAATAAATGTTTTAGAAAGCCATGAAGAGAGGAAAGGGAGAAAGTAAGTCAAGGGACTGGTAAGAAAGAGGCAAAAGCATCAGAGAATTTAGGGAGTAATTATTATGCTCTTGGCTTGTATCCTAGAGCTCTCGGTCAATAAGTTGACTCATCTTAGCTCAGGTAATTCCCATGAAGAGAGGGTGTACCACAACTGCTCAACTCTGGGATACATAGTCTTCAATCTAGGAAATTGGATGAAAACAAGTAAGTTTGTTTACCCAGGCTCCAAAAGCCCCTGTAGACAAATCTTCAGAACATTTTTCTAATGTCTGCTTGTGAATCATTTTAAAGCATTCACACTTTTTAGCAGTTTCTTTCATCTTTGCTAGTCCTGATCACACAATCATTTGTCCACTTAACTTTCTCAATGGCTACTAGCTTGCTGTTAGCATTATCTCAGGAAAGGATCCTTCAGTAAATCAAATCCGAGGAAGGCAGCTGGGAATAGAGCCAGTGAGCTGGTAGATTGAGTCAGAGAGACTAAGAAGTAGCTGACTCAATGCCAGGAAGTCCCTGGAGACATACAAGAAGCTTGACTTTGGCATCATTAACCAGAGAACTTTTTTAGAGCAACAAGGGACTTTATTACGCATTATCTTTGGAAATTCTGGGTTGAAGCAATCGTCTTGAACTGTTGAATGAGAAATCCTGCTATGCTTATGAGAATTCCACTGGAACAGAGAGAGATAAGAAAATGTGGTCCCTATGTTCAAAGCCAAGATGTTCCCAGTGGCCAAATACGAGGGCTATGAACCCTCTGGGATTTACTGTGGAAGCTGAGAAGTGACTGAGTTTACCTCCTGATCATCTTCCCAAGTGAGTATGAAATAGGTTTGTAAATAAAACTGGGTTGAGTATTAAGACAGCCAAATGAGTAACACACACACACACACAGACACACACACACACACACACACACACACAAAACCTAGCTTTCATTAGTATTTTATTATATAAGAAATTTTAAAGCCATCTCCTTCTACATCATTAGACACCACATACATTTATTACGATGTAATGATCTAGATACACTTTCTATGTGTATGTGGGATCCATATTGTGATTCAAATTGTTTTGTCATTTAATTGTTTTTTTATTGGTTTTTCAAAACATTACAAAGCTCATGACATATCATCTTCCATACATTTGATTCAAGTGAGTTATGAACTCCCATTTTTTACCCCAAATACAAGTTGCAGAATCACATCGGTTACACATCCACATTTTTACATAATACCATATTAATGACTGTTGTATTCTGCTACCTTTCCTATCCCCTACTACCCCCCCCATTACCTCTCATCTTCCCTTTCTACCCTATCTGCTGTTGTTTAATTCTCTCCCTTGTTTTTTCCCCTTTCCCCTCACAAACTCTTATATGTAATTTTGTGTAACAATGAGGGTCTCCTTCCATTTCCATACAGTTTCCCTTCTCTCTCCCTTTCTCCCACCCCACTTGTCTCTGTTTAATGTTAATCTTTTCCTCATGCTC